TCAGTCACTTTGACCGGTGACCAGACAAAAGCCCATTGGACGAAAGCGCACGCGACAGAAGCCCACAAAAAGACCCCACTGGGATAATTGCCCACGCGACAAACACCCACACCAATGAAAGCGCACATTGATAAAGTCCACACAGGTAAAAAAAAGCCCACATAGGTATAAGCCCACACTTACAAAAACTCACACCGATATATATGCTTTGCTAAAATAAATATTTTCCCCTTTTTTCCTCAGCTGCACAAAGTAGATTCATGAATAAAGATAAAATAAAAAATAAATTAATAACAAATAACTGAACAATAAATTTTAGTAGAGGAACACATTTAATTTTGGACTCCGGCTGAATTAAGAGAGACAATCAAAATAATGTAATTATAAACATATATATGCATGTGTAACATTGTTATTATATTTACGCTACAAATGGAAGTGCCCTCGTATAAGTCCAACAAAGGGAGGTGAAAGGGAATACTGGCCACACTGCTTCTTTTAATTCTACAAAATTATAAGGAGTATAAAATGTATGTAAATTTTAATCATATACAGAGAATAATTTATGACTAATTTAACACTGCAGAAAATTTTTCATATAATGAATTTAATATGGAGAATTAAAGCTGAACTTTAATTTCAACAAGAAAGATAAAAGTATTATGATTAAGAAAACATTTGTGTGCGCTATCACAAATACTGTTTTCATAGTAAATTAAAAGTGTGGTTTCAAATAATCTAGTTAAATTTTGACAACTTTGATTTTACATAAATTAATTTCATTCCCATTTGAAATTTCATTTTTAATCATAATAGTTATTGCTAGTAAAATTTTTCAGAAAGTCATAGCTATGTTGGATTTGCTGAAAATATGTGCTGCTTTATAAGTGGGCATTCGTCTTGTGGGATTTTGTCATACAGGTTTCTAACTTGCCGCTGGCTATTCAGGCAGGAAACCATTGCGTTCCTTTTCTTTTGCCCCTAGTTGAGTGAAAAAGCAGTTAAAGAGAGGGGAGCCTTGCATAATTGCTTTATCCCCTATCGAACCTGGGATGCGAAAGAGCGGCCTCAAAAGCATGCTCCATGCTAAGAAGAGAGGGAGTGGCAGGAGAGCAATTAGAGGTTGGTGAGAAATAAATTAAAAAGAATTTTAGATATTTTTTGTTAGTTACTAGAAAATAACATTATTCTACATTTTATTGGGATTAGTTTCATAAAAAAAATTTCTATTGATTTCAACAAAGGAAAAAATTTGAGCATTCGTTGAGATAAGCAGTATGCATAACAACTTACATATATTACATTCTAAACGTGAATTTTTTTTTTTTTTTTTTTTGGTAGAACGTATCTCAGATAAGACTTAATCATTTATTTTCAATTCGCAAAACTTTCAAGACATTTTCCTTTGAAAATAAATCTGAGAAAAAGTTCAATTATCGGAAAAAATAATTAGTTAGATGAATAAAAATTAATAAAAAATGAAATAAAAGCTGTACATTAAGAAAGCATCATTCATCCAGTTCTTAAGATATTCATGTAGGCACAAGGCTCACCAGCAACCAAGAGGTAAAAACGTTGAACACTGGTAGTTCGGTCCAGGGTTCAAATCTCGGTGGAAAGACTGACTGCATGGGCGCTTTCGTGGTTTTCCCTTTGCGTAACATGTTTACGAGCAAGTTTCCTTTAAAACATCCTCCACGAAGGCATGCCTTCCCTTGGCTTAGTGCCATTTCATCCATTCTCTTTTCATGCCGAGTTCAAAATAGTGTCATTTCGCCCACTGCCGTCCCAACTTATTCTTTCACGTTTCATTCGCTGTTGGAAAAATCACTTTATGATTAAAAAAAGATATATTCAGATGAAATGACCCTTACTACATTGACCTGACTTAGCCTTTGAGCTCTAATACTTTATAAACATTTCCTTTAGATAAATTTATTCTGAGTAGAATAATGAATTTCAGGCATGTTCAAGAGGTTTGTTTTTGAACCTGTTTTTGAGGTTTGTTTGATTCCATTTTTGTCATATAGTGCCCATTTATTTTATTTCACATACTTCTAAATAAATAGAACTCCTGTTCCTCTGCTTTGACAGCAAATCAAAATGCAGCAAGTGTATAACTCAGATGTACAGGTTTTATTAAAAATATGGTGAATCCTCTTTAAATGCAAACGTTTATGGTTTTAAAGGATTTTTGTTGTAGATATGATGGTCTTAGAAATGTGATATTCACTGCAATGTTTGTTAATGTTCACAAAAAATACAGGTGTCTTTCAAAAGGCGACCTCTTAGAAACGTCATCAATAGATATAATTCACTATAATTATTTTCTAATGGATAATGGAATTAATTTAATCTAATGTCAATTAGAAAACGGCTATTTACAATAGAAAGGTTTAAAACCATTATAACTGTAATTAAGAACACTGTAATTTTTCTTTCATAATCAGCTGTTATATAAAATTAGCTGCTTTCTGAGTATTTTTCATATTTTATAACTAATATCTATATGTCTTGAACAAATATACAGTGAATGCAAGACAAATTATTAAAAATTGCAATTTGAAACATTAACACTAATTTTCTATTAGTATACATATACTATTAATAAATATAATATAATTAATAATAAATATAATTAATAAATAGCCCGTGAGAAACTTCAAAGTGATATTTTTCATTTTCACATACACATACCAAAGTCAAATAAGTAAGTAAATAATAAAATGCAATTTCAGATTTATCATCAAAATGTTATAGCTAATCAATCAGAGAGTAGAAAGTTTGCTTTCAAACTAATAAATTAAACAAATAAAGTAGTGATAAAATATACAAACAGACATATATTTGAGACATTAAAATTCAGTGATTATGTGCACATTTATCAGTGTGTCCTTTTATCAGCGTGGGCTTATATCTATGTGTGCTTTTATCAATGTGTACTTTTTTCAGTGTGGGCTCTTATCAATGAGCGCTTTCATCGCTGTGGGCATTTGTCACGTGGGCAATTATTGTGGGCTTTTGTCACATGTGCTTTCGTCTGGGAACCACTTTGACCATATCGAGAAAATTATAGATTTATGACTTTTTTTAGCTACTTCCGATTTCCTGTTAGATAAAAAACTGTACTTTTGATAAGGAAAATTGCATATTTCACAAAAGTGGGAAGGAAAGGAGGGGGAATTAAACACCTGTTTGGGATATTTGCATACCATGTGTCTGCACATTTCTTTTGTGTTAGAAAGTTTATTTTTCAGTAGACACAAATGTACTTTACTTCATTTGGGTAGTTTTGTTGTTCTGATCTGTTTATCATGTTGTATAGAAGCGTTAGTGGAAAATATTGAAAATTTTTGAAAGACTTTTTGATGATAATTCTGCTTCGGAAACTGAATGAAGAATTTCATACTGAAACTACATCCAGTTTATCTGACGAGGACTGGAATGTTCCTACTGAAACACATGAATTCTGATAGGAAATTTGTTCATGAAACAGAAAAGCAAACTAAAAATTTAGATCATGATCTCAAAGACTACAAACTGATCCAGTTGCCCTTGTTTCATTTATTTAGAATACTTTTATAAAAAACTGCTTGAAATGTTATAAACCATCTAAAAATATAACAGTGGATGAACAATTATTTCCAATGAGGACCCGATGCCAATTTATTCAGTATACGCCTAAAAAGCCAGACAAATTCGGCATTAAATTTTAGCTTGCTACTGATGTGCAGTCAAAATATTTATTGAATGGATTTCCCTATTTGGGAAAAGACAAAACAAGACCATCTGGAGAAACAATACGTGAACATGCAGCTTTTCGCTTTATGGAACCGCTGAAATTAGTAAAAGAAATGAGGAATTCAGGGATAAGCTGAGCTGGCACAATAAATTGTTCAAAAAGAGGAGAAGTACCTTATTCTTTCAAAAATAAGAGGGATGAGCTCTGTTCTAGTAAGACTGCTAAGCATGACAATATAATGCTTATGTCTTATCAAGGGAAAAATAATAAGAACATCCTACCCCTAAGTACCATGCACTCAACATTGGAAATCATATCTGATGAAACAAATACACTGGAGATTGTGAATTTTCACAATTCGACCAATATGGAGTTGATGTTTTGGACCCGATGGCTAGAAAATACTCAGTGAAGTCCTCATCCAGCTATTGGCCAGTTAAAGTTTTTATTTAATATTCTTGATGTGGCTGTAATAAATGCATGGATGATTTACAAGGAAACAACTCAATATAAGAATATCAGCCGCCGTAATTTTATTTTGAATATGGCTGAGGAGCATTGAGAGGTGAACATTTCACCCAAAATTCACAAACTTTCTGTATCTAACAAAAAGAGAAATGGTATTTGCATCCACCCTTCCCATAAGTGTAAACAGAGCCAAATAAATGCATGCAGCCAAATAAATGCATGCAGCCAAATAAATGCATAAAACTTTGATTACAATACTGTAAAAAACTTGTTTTTGGAACCTGTACAAGAGAAATCAAAAATTTAGTAATCTGCATGCACTGTAAAACCAAGTAAGTACTAAAATGTTTAATTTTTATTATATTTATTTCATATTGAAAATTTTTATGAGACTATTTATTAAATGATAAGAAGCTTAAAAATATATAGCAAAATGTATCATTATCAGCATTAACTTTACACAATATTAGCAAAAAGCGAGCCTTTTTGTCTATTCGAAACAAGCGGTCAAAATGACCGCTGATTAAAGAATAAACATGCATCATTTTAAAACCAAAGGTAATTAAATATTTTTGCTTTAGTGATTTTGTATCTAATAATATGAATTAGATCACATGAAGTAAATAGTCTGATTAATTTAATATCTTAAAGCTATATGGATACTTATGGACAGTTGTGTTTTAAATTCATTCAATATATTCAATCTTAGACCAATAAGCAGAATAGGCTTGGTGCTTAGCATATTAAATTGTTGATTATTAAAACACAGAATTAAATATTCTATACACACAGGCATTTATTTGATCCACATCTGCTTGCTTTGTAATTAGTGACTCTGTCTTCATAGGGAGTCCCTTAGGCTTCTAAAAATCAAATAAGAAAAATAAAAAACTGCTTTTGTAATTGAAGGAAGTTAGCATGATATAGAGAATAAGACTCAAGATGTGTATTACTTTTAATTCATTAGAAGTCAATTTTATTTAACAATAAATATATGCATTTAAAACAATGAAAAATGTTATTATTATAAGAAATAATTTACACTAAATAATAATATTCAATGAAAGACATTTTATAATTCTCGACAGTAAAAATATAATTTCTTAAATGTAATATATTAAAATGAAATATTGCACAGAATCATTAATTAATATAAATAAATGAATGATATAATTATGCAACACATTTCCTACTATATTTACTATTACCTGAGGGGTACTTGTTTTAACAGGTAGCATTTTAACCTAAAGGTAGATAAAAACAAAATATTAACATCGATATAAGTAAAAATAAACATATACATTTGAAAATTATTTATCATGCATACTTGTGATTCATTAATCCTTTTTTCGCGATCAAGAATTCGTTGGGCTCTAGCTATTTCTGCTTCCTATTGAAAGAAATACAAATTTTGCACCACATTATCCTTTTACAGTACAATCTGAATTGGATTTTTTTTTTTTTTTTTTTTTTTTTTTTTTTAATACGAGGGCAATCCCAAAAAAAAAGGTCTCCTATTTTGAGGGGACGTGGAGAAAGTTTTAATACCATTGTTGGCAACACTGTTGTGAGTGGTGCCTTCTCCACTACCACATAAGCATGCAGGCACTTCACTCGGATGCTCAGTCTTGGCTTGGCAGCCATTCGAAATGGAGCTTCCGATAAATGTTATCGCCAAGTGCAAAGTGCGCGCAGTTATTCGATTTTTGAACACAAAAGGTGTTAAACCAGTTGAAATTCACTCGGAAGGGCAATTCAGAACCGGAGAAGAGGGATGTTGAGCAAGGGTGTAAGCATTCTCCACGACAACGCCCGTTCTCACCTCGCCCATCAAACCATCGATCTCCTGCAAAATTTTGGTTGGAACGTCATCACACACCCACTCTACAGTCCGGACTTGGCACCCAGTGATTTTTACCTGTTCCCTAAGTTGAAGGAACATTTGTCTGGACGGCGGTTCTGCTCCGATGATGAGGTGAAAGATGAGGTTCAACGCATCCTGAAGGGCATGGCGGCAAGCTGGTATGACATGGGCATTGTAAAACTGCCACAGTGTCTGAAAAAATGCATCGACCAAAATGGCGATTATGTTGAAAAATAAAGCATTCTTCAATCTTTAAACTGGTGTAGCAATTATAGAAAATTAACGGTTCTTTATATATCTAAAAATATAGGAGACCTTTTTTTTTGGGATTGCCCTCGTATGTGATAAAACTATTTCGCAAATAATAACATTATTTTGCATTTAAACTGTCATGTTAAACAAAATATAATATAGTTTTCAGTCTCAAGAGTGCTGAATTGCATAACAAAATGCTGAAAAAGACACAACATTAAGAGGGGAAAAAAAAAAAAAAAAAAAAACTTTATATGAAATGAATACTTTGAAATATTTACCATTTCAAGAAATTAATGCAGAATCAACAAGCAAGAAAAACTAAAACTATTCATCAAACTTATTTTTCTTAACAATTGGCAAGAAAGGCATAAATAATAATAATAAGAGCCTCATATTTTTAAAAGACATAAAGATCATAGTAGTCACATTTATCTGCATAACAGATTTACATTAAATTCAGAAATGAACAATATAATTCTATATGACAGTAGTTTTCAAACTGTGAATTTTAAAAAAAAACTTTTCACAGTTTTATAAAAACAATGCCCTTAAATGCCACATAAATGGAATTCTAATATCTTGCCACATAATTTTTTATAGCAAAAAGAAAACATATTAGTAATGATATAATGGTCAAGAATATTGTATTACTTTGAATTTAAGCCACAATAGGGTTTTAAAAGTGAAAAATTGGAAAGAACTATAAAAAGTATTTCCCTTGAATTAAAGTAGGATTTTAAAACTGCAAAAGTAATGAAAACAGGAAATTATTTCATAATAGGTAATAATAAATATATAATAAAAAACCTAATGGTACTGAAAATTTTCGTCAAATATACTACAGTACAAAGTCTTTAATCCGGACTCGTCGTGACTTCGGCGATTCCAGATTAGGGGTTTTTCCGGATTATAGATCATCAATTTAAATCTCGTAAGATGGCATGCAGAAATTATAAAATTATAAAAAATATGAAACCGTAATTTATGAAATACAGAGCAATTATGATCTAAAGGGTATCAAAATTTACAAAAAAAAAAAAAGAAGGGCTTAGTATTTATTTTGTTTACTTTATTAAACATTTCTTTCAATGTAAGTTGTTTAAGTTGCTTTGTTTTATGTGCTAATTCTTTCTCTTTAATTCTGTAAACAGACTTAATTTCTTGTTCAGTTACAAAGTTTCGCTGTTCAAGTCCCATAATTGCTGTGCCGAGAATACCGACTAACTTGTCAATCAAAATTTTTTCGTTTTCACTAACCTCTCTGTCACCTTCTTCACGTCTTTATCCACTTTTTGCAGCAATTCCACTTTTTGTTTGATGGACATCGAAACATGCTTTCGCTTTGTAGATCCTTTGGCAGCTCCACAATCAGAAACTCTTTTCGACATAATCGAAAGTTCAAGCTTACTTTTTATAAAATTGCTCTAACAGTCTGCAAAAAATAATAAGCCGGATCCAATTCGAAGATTAAGGAACAACACAATCTGCAACATTAACTGAATTAGATAATTTTATTGTTTTGCGATTTTGCTTTGAAAATTTTAAAAGGCTTTATTGCTTATCAAATCATTGCCACCAAATACTATCATCTTGTATTATACTTGAAGAAATTAAATAATGAAGAATCTGTATAAACGTATGTATGTTTCTCGCATTGTGATCAGTGGCGGCTCGTAATAAGCACTGTGGAACTGCAGCACCCCTTATTTCCACTTATTATTATTTTTAATTTTTAATATAGCGTGCCCTTTAGTCTTCAATTCTTTCTTTATACTTTTACAATACATAATCCATAAGCTTAATGTTGGTAGCCATCCCCTACTTTGTGAAAAAGGTACAAAATTCTTTGTTTGGAACTGCACGCTCCACAGTTCCAGTGACGTGGTGTTTGCCTGTTCTGTGCATGAGCACACAGAAAAGCAGCATGCGAGCCAGCTAGAGAGAAGAGCACTGTCGCTCTTGCAGTGCCGAAATTCTGGCATGTTGTTGGAAACGTGATTTCTTTAAACTCCATGCATGAGGTATTCCTCCAAAAGGTGGAATTTCACCATACAAACCATAAACAGAGTTGTTGAAAATTTTCAACCTTTAAAAAATTGCCTTACTGAAATTCAGTCAACGTCAAATGCAGATCAAACTACTGCAAAAGCAACAGGAATTTTAAAATATCTAAATGATGATAATTTCAAGTTTTGGCTAGAGCTTTTTTATCAGATACCTCATACTGAAATAATATACAACTAAATGCAATCCAGAGAAATTAGTGTGTTTAAAGTTAACAAATATATAACATATTTCAAAACTGCTATTTTAGAATTAAGAAACGCAAAGTTACTGTGAGAATCTTCTTCAAAGACACTGATGGCAGAAAGCTAAGGAAAGTATGTGACTTTACTATGTATGTATATAATGGCACAGATATTCTTCCCACTTAACACTTAGCAGCTGCTAAATTGTTTAAACAAGAAATGCTTTGCTAGTTTTAGGTTATGAATATTCTACAGAAGAAATAGTGCTGACCATTGAAGCATATCCAATGATTGACAAAGAAAAGCTTGAAAGAAACTGAACTAAAAGTATTCTATTGGTAGGTCTGATACCTTTCATTGAATACTGCAAATTAATTGAGCTACAGAAATTTATCTTCGAAAATAATCTAGATGATGTTCTTAAGTGAAATTACGGAACTGATAAAAATTCTCTTGAAGAGTTAACTCCATGACTACATCAGAGGCAGAACGCTTCTTTTCAACATTGAAAAAAATGAAAAATTTTTTAAGAAGCACTAGGAATTCGGAAAGACTAAATGTGCTTGCATTGCTTTCAATAAAGAAAAATTTCCTTAGTTGTCATCCAAAGATCAAGAAGAAAATTATTGATCTTTTCGCGCAAATTAAAACAAGAAGAATGGATTTCATTTTTAAATGAATAGACAAAGATTGAACTGTAACAATTTTGGTTAAAGTAATTAGGCAATGTTTAATTTTTTTCTTGTAAGATTTCCTGAAGTTTCAAAATAAATTTTCTTTTTATACATGTTTGTTTCCTTTTAGACAATTGTGCCCACCAGCGGCCAAGCGGTAAAGACGCTGAACACTGGTAATTCCGTCCAAGGTTCGAATCCTGCAAACGGGCTGGCTGCATGGCCATTTTCATGGTTTTCCCCATTGAAATATGTATACGAGCCAGTTTCCCTTAGAAAGTCCTTCACGAAGGCATCCCTCTAGGCAGATAACCCTCGTGTATCCTTTCGGCAGATAGCCCTCGTGTGCTTTGCCATTAATTAAATAATCCAATCCAATCCTTTTACACAATTTTTAAAGGTTAAATTTTTTGGAACAGCACCCCCACTAATTTTAGCCACGAGCTATACAATTTTGAATGACGTAATCTTACTGCGAATATGGGCATCTGAAAGCCCAAATTTGAAATTTTGAATTTGTTTTATTAACGATTTCATATTTTGCAACTTAAAAGAATTTTTGATTAACAAACTCAACGATTTAAAAGCGAGCAACGGCAACACTCTACGGGGAGGGAGGGGTGACCTTTTTATTTCCAGCGCACAGAACTATGTATCAGAAATTCTAAAGATATTCTCATTTTAAAATTATTTTGTAACATTGCTGTTGAACTGAATTTTATGGTTTGCTTATACGAAGAATAGTGACAAGGTCTTTCATTGCTTTGAAAGAGCTTGTCACTATTCTTCGTATGCAGTTCTTGCTTTGGTCTCCCCCCCCCCGGCTGTCTGTGGTAAATGGGACAATTGGGAACATATGGCATATGATTTGTATCTAGGTTGCTGTTATTGGCTTCATTTTATAATTTATTTTAGTTTATGCAATACAGACTATCCACATTACAGTCTTTCATTTGGTGAGCTCCTCCACAAAATGCACAGTATGATCTGTATTTGCAATTTCTAGCAGAGTGTTCAAAATCTTGACAAACATAACATCTTTGCACCCCAAGGAATTCTGTAATTTTGTGGATTCTCCATCCATTAAAGAATTGACCTTGATTCATGAGGGTTCTAAATGCTATTGGAGAGCATTCTACTATGCACTTTGTGGCATAATTTCTGTTGTCATTGAGACGAAATGAGATTTTTAGTCCTGGCGGATCGATTTGAGTATTGTCGGAAATGATCTTTAAAAGCTCTTCTGAAGTTGTTTGTACCCTGTGGAACATTATGGATTGTGCATTTTGTTGGAATTCACGTATTGATTTTTTCTTTAATGTTGTCACTATTGCCTAATACTTCTTTAAGTTTCTTCACTGCCTCTTCAGAGTTGCATGTCACTGCAATACCTCCTTTTAAGGTTTGTGATGTTTTTTATCGGGATTCCAATGTTTGCGATTGGCATATGCTTTTCTAGTTCTTCTTGGAGACTTTGATTATTAAGGTTTTCATTTGACAGAATTAATGGTGTTGGCGAATTCAGCCTTTTCTTATCGGAAATGGCAAGTTTTGCTATATCTGCATATGTCAATGGATTTTGGTGAGGAGCATTGTTGCAACGACGGTATTGAGACACATTCCATGATTGGTGAGGAGCATGACATTCCAGATCGAAATTGGAGTAAGGATTATTATTCTTGTGCACAGCAGGCGTAATACTTTTGGAGTAGTTCCGCTTTGCTAATATTGTAACTCCATATGTGCTGTCAAAACTTGCAGCAGTTTTGTTGTTGCTTTCTGGTGGAGAGGCAATGTATTGAGAAAGAAAAGTGCAGATTTCGGAAAGTGCAGGAAGTGCAGATTTCGGAAAGTATGGAAGTAAGTGGTTGCTCTGAACAATATTACGAAGAATGGAGAATTGCAGTCTCTATGAACGGGAGTATTGCGTCTTTAATGTCCTCTCTGAGATATTACAAAAGTCCTCATGTATCACAAAATGGTCAACTCTTTTGGTGTTAATTAATCTGCTGAGCTTTTTTCGTAAATTTCTAAGATCAGGTGTTTTAAGTTCTTTTATATTTGGTATTGGAGGGTCTAAATCAATAATTTCCTATTATTGAGTTGCATCTTCATTTCCCTGGATTGAATCGATTATGGCATCTACATTGGTAGTGCTGAGCAATTGTCCATGACTTGCATGGAACTTCTTTTTGGGAAATTTAGTAGGTCTTGATTAAGTAACTTTTAAATTTACTAAGATAACTACAAATAATATTCTAAAAACACTGAGCCAGTTGTCAGAACACATGTTTTTCTATCACTTACTACTTTCAACATTACATCTTTCTCAGAAAAAGGTATTGCCTCTTTCTCATTTCTTGTTAAATCAAACATTTTAAAGGAAATACTTTAACCGGTGAAATATTGGCACCATTAAGCCATAATAATAAAGAAATATTTTAGTTTGTTTATTAAACAAATCTACATCCGAATACATATTGATTTATCACAATGCAAGGGTATAGTTCACTAATACTAATTTAAAAAAAAAAATTTTTTTAATGAAATCTAATCTTAAAGTAAAAGTTGGACAACATATGATTTGTGATTTTTCTTATTTAAAATGCACAAATTAACATTTTTTTTAATGAGTGCCCATTTATCAGTACAGTCAAATACCGAAAATCCGCGTTGCATCTCAAAATATAAACATTCAGTTTATAGGTTCCGGAAACCGCAACATCGATTACGAAATATCGAAGAAAAAATACTTACCAAATAATGATGTCAGAACGGAAATACCAAATTTTTGACATCATGATAAAAGTTTTTTCCCCCCTCTAATCTGCATCAAGGTAAAAAAGCAGACGATTTACTCAACTCTTCTTTCAGGTTCACGATTCACATTGTTGTATTTTTCTGAGCTTTGTTATTTCACGAGATTATTTAGTGCTACCTTTTTTTTTTATCCGTATATTTTGTGGATACATTAAGAATATTTTAAATTTCAGCTCTTTTTAATGCATTTACAGATAAGAAACGCACTTATGATTTTACTGCTTGCAACATTGAAAAATGTAAACACGTTGCATTGACGGTAATGCAAAAAGTGCACATTTTGGAAAAGATGGAGACAGAAGCTACTCCTCAGTTTATAGCAGAATCGTATGGAATTGCAATACGATTGTGTATGATATACGGAAAAATAAAGAAAAGCTGTTGAAGTTTTACAGTAACAGATATTCTAACACCAGAATCCGAAACTGGAAATCTTTGCATGAGGCGAAATCGGCAAACCTAGATGCTGTGTATGTATAACACAATGAATAATATAATCAATTTTATATATGTAATAATAATTTAATGCATATAATAAGTTGTTGCAATAATGTATATAATAATTTAATTAAATGTATCTAATAAGCCTTATTTATTTTGCACTTTTAGTCTGAATATTATGATTTATCTTTTCTGTCCTGAAATCTACAAAATCCTAAAATCCGCACACCCTATGGCCCCAAGCTTTGAAGATTTCTGGACTTTTACTGTGTTAAATAATTTATCAGTATCAGTGTTAAGTAAGATAATATTTCAATTTGTTCTCTGCTCTAATTTTCATTTTGCTGATTAGGAAGAGGGAAGCAATACAGAAATTTGTTACCTCTCAATAAACCATTTTAAAGATGGGTTGTCAGTAACAGATACTATAAAAAAAAAAAAAAAGCAAAAACTCAATCAATGGTACATATCAAGTGATTTAAGACAAGAAGCACCATTTAAATACATCAAAGCCAAGCAAACGAAAGGTTTTTACAGATTCTGATTGGATTGTAAGAGAAATAAAGAAAAAGACACAATTAAGTGCTTCCAGACTGGCTGAGGAAGCAAAAGGGTATTTTGGAAAAAGAGCTAATCCAGAAACAACGAGAATTACTCAATGAAAAATAATTTTGATGGATGAATTACCATGAGGAGGAGAAAAAAAACTTTTATGAGCAAGATCACTCATTTAAAATTAAAATTTGCAAAACTTCATAAAAATAAAGACTTTCATTTTGAAGGACTATTTTATTTACAGATCAATTCATATTTAATATCTTTTGTTCAGATCGGCAAACATATGCCAAAGAGAAAGAAAACAAAAGGGTATAAAGAAAGCCAAACAAAAGGTATAAACAAAAAATTTACAACCTACTCTTAAACTTGGTGGTGGATTAATAATGATATGTTGATCAGTATCAGCCATTGGACCATGGAAAATTCATATCATTGATTAAAGGAATAATCAAAATAAATATTTACAAATTCTGAAAGGAAATTTCAAAGATAATACTTAAAAACTGAACACAGATGATTGTTTCCATTTTGATAAAGACAAGGATCTGAAGCAATGTTAGATTAATATGACTAAAATGTTAGACTGTGTTTTGCTCACATTTTATAGATTGTGCCCCTTCAACCTCTAGACATAAATGCATTTGCAAATTTACAAATATGTGTAAAAGAAAATTTTTAAAAATAATGCCATATCCAATTCAAAATGCATTAAAAAAAGAATGGTTAAAAATTACTTTTAATTATTATGAAAAATTAGTCTGTTCACTACCAAACAGTTTAAAAGATGTTACAGCAAACAAAGGATACTAACCAAATACCAAATTTCATTTAAATAATTCAAATTAATAACAAAAATAATTATGCCTGAATTTGATTTTGAGATTACTCTTCATTGTTTATTAAACTTTTATTTTTTCAAACTTAATGCAAAAAGATTTTCCTTTATTGTTTTTTGAATTTTTATATACTTAGCATAAGAGTACACAAGAACTATTTTAGAAAGGTGTCAAAAACTGGTGTCTGAGTTTTACTTTGAGCCACTGTATGTGTGAAAAATTTATAAAAAAATCGTTTGAACACTATACAAAAATATTAAAATGAATTTTGAAACAATCACTTTGAGGTACACACTCTCATAGCCCAGACAACCAGTAATGCCAAAATTTATAACACTTGGGCAATTTGTTTTTCTGCAGGGCAATAAATGCATATATATACAGAGACAAATTATCTTAAGTATCATTAGCGATTATTGCCTTATTTTTTTATGCAAGCAATAGTATTGAAAACATAGGCATCATTAAATATTAATAATTATATTCAACATTAACTATTCATTAATTCATATATTTATGTTAATAATATAAATATATTAATAATTATATTATTAACATAAAATATATGAATTAATGAATATTAATTATTGAATTATACAGAATTAGATGGATAAAGTTATAAATATACTTAATATATTTATCCATTACCAAAAAATGGCACTTATTACACACACAACAATAAAGTCAATTTAAATGTGACAGAAATGAATAAATAAATAAACAATTGGAATTGCCTTTAATTATACAATAAAAATTTTTAAAAACCCTTTAAACTGCATACCAAGCGTCTGACTTCAGTATCACTCATCAAAGCTTTCCGAGGCCGTGCTTCTGATTTCTATTCAGAAAGGAAATATACATCATTTAAATAAAACAAATACATAAAAAATATTTTTTAAATATATATCCAGATGTTTTAAGGAAGAAAGAAAAATGTTATAAAACAGGGAGTCACTGAATAAAGACCTTGAAAGATTAATCATTTTATTTGCAAAAAACAAAGACTGAAATATTTATAAAGTAACATGTTGAAGACATTTTTTGTTAAAAAATAATAAAAATATACAGAATTTATACCAAGAAACTAATTCATCCTTTTTAAAATGAGTAATATAATTAAGAAATATTCAGCTTTAATGAACACATTACGAATATTGCATTGGCTTGAATATAATCTCACAGACTGTCTCACACATATGAAAAATGAGCCTGGATTTGTAACGACATTTCACAATAATGACAAAGTTCATATATAAATTACATTGAAATTATATATATATATATATGCAAGATATAACAAAATATGATAGCTGTTTTAAAAAAATAATTGGCAACCTCAAAATTAACATTCTAGATTTGATGATCTCCCCCCTAAACTCATCTGTTCTCCACAATTTGAGATCTTTCTATGGTATGTAATATTACTGGAAAAGGGCAACAAAAACTAATATTAACCAATCATAGTTTACTAATTCAGAAGTCAAACAACAAAAATCAGCGTTAATTTACCAAATTTTTTTCACAGGACTAGTTTCGATGGTTTTACCGAACCATCATCTTCAGCTGCAAAACCGCAAATGAACAAGATAGGAAATAATATTTAGATAAGATAAGAAAGCCTGGACAAGAATAAGCAAGTGGCGCCATCTGTTGGCGAAACCAGAACTAAAACATAATTTCTCTAAAAGCCGAAGGCAAATTTGGATTGGAATTAGGATCGTTAACTAGAACAGAAAGATTTTTATGAATGTGAAATGCCTCTAGAAAATCCAGTTCTCCCATGGAAGATGTTTTTTTGAATAATTTTGGCAGCAGAAAAATTGAAAGTGTGATTTTCGGACCAACAATGTTGAGCAACAGAAGACTTCTGTGTTTCCTTTTTTTCTAACATATGCCTCATGTCTTTGACGCGAAATTTTAAGGCTCTCTTAGTTTGGCCAATGTAAATTAAACCGCACTGGCAAGGAATCCTATAAAATACCCCAGGAATTCATATCCGGAATGGGGTCCTTGAGTATAGAAGTCGGAATTTTATTGATGGGAGAGTAAAACAACCCGAAGTTAAATTTCTGCAAAATATGTGCAACTTTATAGCTAATTGATGGAAAGAAGGGATGACAAAGAATTTTATAATCTCCTAAAATAAGAGTGTGGCTTTTAGTGTGTTGAGATGAGAATTTTTTAACTGCTTGATTAATAATGTTGGATGAAAAGCCCTGTCAATAGCTATTGTTTTTAAATAATTTAGTTCTTCATCAAGGGCTAGTTTGGAGGAGCAAAACTTGAAGAGCACGGAAACATAGGAATAAAATGAAGCTAACTTTTGTTTAGTCGGATGATAGATTTAAAGTGTGGTGGAAGGCAAACCGATGAAGGTTTACTGTAAACGGTAGTACTGAAGTTGGATGTGTTTACGTGTGACCAGAATGTCGAGAAACGGAAGGGAATTGCAAGTCTCAATTTCAAAAGTGAACTGAATAGCAGGATCAATAGAATTCATTGTTGAAAGAACTCTATTTAAATCATCTTTATTACCTTCAAACAGGGTAAAAGTATCGTCTACGTAGCAGAACCATGCCGGAAGTTTAAAGTTTCAAACAATTTTGATTCATAATAATGCATGTAGATATCAGCCAGGATGGGACTGAGGGGGCTTCCCATGGCTAATCCCTCAGTTTGCTTGTAATATTTATTTTGGTTAGGGATTAGCCATGGGAAGCCCCCTCAGTCCCATCCTGGCTGATATCTACATGCATTATTATGAATCAAAATTGTTTGAAACTTTAAACTTCCCGGCATGGTTCCGCTACGTAGACGATACTTTTACCCTGTTTGAAGGTAATAAAGATGATTTAAATAGAGTTCTTTCAACAATGAATTCTATTGATCCTTCTATTCAGTTCACTTTTGAACTTGAGACTTGCAATTCTCTTCCGTTTCTCGACATTCTGGTCACACGTAACACATCCAACTTCAGTACTACCGTTTACCGTAAACCTTCATCGGTTTGCCTTCCACCACACTTTAAATCATATCATCCGACTAAACAAAAGTTAGCTTCATTTTATTCCTATGTTTTCCGTGCTCTTCAAGTTTGCTCCTCCAAACTAGCCCTTGATGAAGAACTAAATTATTTAAAAACAATAGCTATTGACAGGGGCTTTTCATCCAACATTATTAATCAAGCAGTTAAAAAATTCTCATCTCAACACACTAAAAGCCACACTCTTATTTTAGGAGATTATAAAAATTCTGTTGTCATTCCCTTCTTTCCATCAATTAGCTATAAAGTTGCACATATTTTGCAGAAATTTAACTTTCGGGTTGTTTACTCTCCCATCAATAAAATTCCGACTTCTATACTCAAGGACCCCATTCCGGATATGAATTCCTGGGGTATTTATAGGATTCCTTGCCAGTGCGGTTTAATTTACATTGGCCAAACTAAGAGAGCCTTAAAATTTCGCGTCAAAGAACATGAGGCATATGTTAGAAAAAAGGAAACACAGAAGTCTTCTGTTTGCTCAACATTGTTGGTCCGAAAATCACACTTTCAATTTTTCTGCTGCCAAAATTATTCAAAAAAAACATCTTCCATTGGAGAACTGGATTTTCTAGAGGCATTTCACATTCATAAAAATCTTTCTGTTCTAGTTAACGATCCTAATTCCAATCCAAATTTGCCTTCGGCTTTTAGAGAAATTATGTTTTAGTTCTGGTTTCGCCAACAGATGGCGCCACTTGCTTATTCTTGTCCAGGCTTTCTTATCTTATCTAAACATTATTTCCTATCTTGTTCACTTGCGGTTTTGCAGCTGAAGATGATGGTTCGGTAAAACCATCGAAACTAGTCCTGTGAAAAAAATTTGGTAAATTAACGCTGATTTTTGTTGTTTGACTTCTGAATTAGTATTTATTCGGCGTGTTATTGTGTCTCAATCATAGTTTGTTTCTAGAATTGCACCTACTTTGATATAAATTCCTCGGGTGAGCTAATTACGTCATTATTCTGCTAGCTTCTACATTGCTAATATCTTCCCGCTTCCCTTCTTTAAAATGCCTATGTGATTCTTTTCTAATAAAACAAAGAGTATAAGAATTTATAATAATTGAATGATCAAACAGTACGTTGCCTACAAGGAATTATTCTAGTGTGCCTGGAAATAAAGATGACAATTTGCTGAACTTAGTTTAGTATCAACTTCTTCCTCTTACCCTACCACTCAGCCATTGTGACTGTGTTTTGAAATCATTACATACATAATATATATATTCATAATATATAAATTGGTGTTGTATATATATGAACCTAATCTGTTAAAGAGATTTTAAAAGAAAAGTTATTAAAAGATAAAACTATAAATATGCTGTTATATGTACATGCTGCATTAAGAGATAAATGAACAATTACTAATATAAATTACTAAGTATATTTATTACCCTCAAATCATTAAGGGCATATATGGTATGTCCCTTAAAAAAAGGTCAATATTACACTGCAGTTTGGGAGATTACAAGAAACTATATGTCATTAGAATATATGATACACCACCTTTTTCAAAAGATACGCAATTTCAACGATCCTAATTCCAATCCAAATTTGCCTTCGGCTTTTAGAGAAATTATGTTTTAGTTCTGGTTTCGCCAACAGATGGCGCCACTTGCTTATTCTTGTCCAGGCTTTCTTATCTTATCTAAACATAATTTCCTATCTTGTTCACTGATGTCACCTCTAGCTAAATGAATGGAAGAGCATCATTCATTTAGCCAGAGGTTCTTGTTTCTAATATTCCCTCTCTTTCTGGAAGCTGTCAGACTTGAAACTTATAGCCTTTTCCTTTCAGCCACAAGAGATCAACTCTGCACCTAAAGCCTTTGTATATGCAAAAGCGAGCACATTCAGTAACCTTTAGACGTCACTTAGATAATGAGAAGTTCTTTGAACATGTCAAACAGTCTACAGTCCAAAAACACATGCCCACTTTCATTAACATCAATAGACAGCAATTTTCATATTTACGGTAAGATATATCATGCAGGATCAGATCATCAAAGACATGCAGAAATTATAAAATTAAAAATGTAAAATAGTGATTTATGAAAGAATGAAACATTTATGACATTAAAGGAATCAAAATTCACACACACACACAAAAAGCTGAATATTTATTTGTTTTCTTTACTAAACCTTCCTTTCAATGCAAGTTGTATAAGCTGCTTCATTTTTTGTGCAAATACTTTGCCTTTAATTATATAAATAGACATAAGCTTTTCGCTCAGTTAAAAAATTCCATGTAACTTCTGCGTCGAGAATTCCCATCAAATGGCTAATCTTTTTTTTTTTTTTATTCCTCACTCTCTCCATTTTTTCATTAGTGCTAAGATATTTATTATTTTGAACATAACAATTTCAACCATCCTTATGAAGATGGATTATTATTGCAATGAAAAACTTGTTACAACATCATTATTTATTTCCACTTCTCAACAACTTCCATTAAGTGGAAAATTTGCCTTTTGTGTGTTAAACTCAAAAGTCTTCAAATTCATAGCCGTTCTCATAAAGTTCAGCTTGCAATCACTATTTGCCGATGAATCACGAGACTGGCAGCATGAGATGTGTTGTTTGCTAAATTTTCTCTTGCTTTTATCATGCATTGAGGAAGTTAGGCCAGAATTACATTAGTTATTTGTTATATTTACATCTATTTCCTGCATATACTTAAGCCTTACCTTCCACAAATACTTAAAGGCTTATGTAAACAAACAAATCAGTTACTGTTAATTCAAACAGCACCAAATACATATCATTTACAAAACCTATTTTTTGCATATCGA